GGAGTCGGACGGAGACACTGTGGCCTGTTTCGATCTGCTGCTTCCGTTTGGCTACTGTGAAGTGGTTGGAGGAAGTCTCAGAGAACACCGGTTGGAGCATCTCATTCAATCGATGCGCCAAAAGGGGCTAATCAAGAGAACCGAAATATCGAATGGCGACAATGGCAACGGTTACCCGTTTCTGGAAAAGGGAGAGACTTTGGGGAACATGAGGTGGTACGCCGACCTTCGACGATTCGGAAGTAGTCCCCACGGTGGCTATGGCCTGGGATTTGACCGCCTGCTCGCATACATGACGGGTGTCAATAACTTGAGGGAGGTCGTTCCGTTCCCGAGAACGTGGGGCAGGGCAGATTGCTGAGCCGCGGGTGATGGCCGTAGCGAACACTATTGTACAAGATACAGGTACGCGTAAGGGTCGAATGTACCGAGTACAGTGTGCATTTTGGTTACAAGTCAATTCCAAGGTTGGTAATGCAGTGGAAATAAATAATAAACTTTGGCACTCTTCCTATTTAAGTAAGGTTTGATCCACATCAATCCATATCACTTGGCCTCGTTTCCCCCAACCCTCCAAAATCATCCAGACAGGCTCGACAGGAAGAACAAAAAATGCTTTTCCACCACCAATTTTTCGATTCTTGACACGAGATATGGTCTGGAGAATCTCTTCATTTTTCTCTACCCAACGACATCAAAAAAAGCAAAAACAATCAACAATCAGGATTCCCACCTGGTCACCCACGGTAGTACTAACTGATCGGCATATGGCTTAAGTACGGCTGAGCGAACGGGAAGCCCTGTATTCCATATCCTATGGTCGATTGCGAAAGAAAGTAGTTTACACTAATTCATATACTACAAATGTGTATATTTTACCAGCGATCCACGAGTATGCGATGTTTTTTAATATGTGCGGAGTTTCTTCGGTATAGGATCCTAAGTAAAGGTAGGGGCCGGGTGGCTATATTATCTATAAGGGGCTTAGGTATTACAAAGGACATCTGAGGTATTACTAGCATTGTCAACTACCTAATTAATATTTTGTTCCGCTACTTGTTTTCATGATCGTGGGTGTTGGCTACCACTGCCAGTCAGAAGTACCTACATACCTTGCGAGCTCGTATTGAAAGTCATCCTCTCGTGTCTCCCCAGTGCGGGGGTGCCAAGAGGCTAGCCAATTACGCAGTCAAGATCCCAAAGTCTTACCTTTTCTCTTGTATACGAGTACCTCAGACTTCACCTACTCTATACCGGCGGTCAAGGTAGACCCGGCGATCCATTTTCCTATTTCTCTCCTTCCCTGTTCACCCGTTGACTTTCCCACCATCCTCGGCGATACGGCGAGCGCGGGCAAGTTCCCTTGATCCCCCTCGTCCGTTCTCTCGACCGAGTGCAGCATGGCAAAAGCCGACTATGATGAAGTCGCGTCACCAGCGAGTGAATGCTAGCGGTTCAAGATACCGAGTATCAGGTGCGATTGAGCGATTCATGGCTCGCTTCGCACTGCCCTTACCTGACCCAGGCAACGGTACGATCGTGCGGCACGATCTGGAGTCCAACCCATGTCCAGACTCGGAAGAACTCGAGCCCGTTTCTGGACAGAACCCACTGGGCGCCTCGCAAGCATCTACCCGCCAGTGCAAGGGAGAAAACATTTCTGTATGGCCGATTGGCTGTCCCCCGTGATGGTCCCCGATCTATACCGAACAAAGGCAGGTCTATCATGCAAGCTAATGTGGCCCAAATTGCGGAGAAGAACCAGGGGGATCTGGGCAGCTAGCGAATGTGCCTATCTACCAATACCCGTGTCGATGCTTTTCGCTGGCCAAGAGGTATTTTGATTCGGCCTTGACGACGTCGACTCATTGCACATAATTTTACACACACCATTATGGGCGATTTCAAGCCATTGGGAATCAGTAAACATTTGAACCTCGGCATGCCGATGCGATGGACACATTTTCTGGCTGTCCCTGGCAGAGGCGGTGGGAAAAGAACGGCTACAGTCTTCGTCATGGGACTATATAGTCCTGGCTCCCTCCAGCTATGGCAGTCGACTTGATATCAGTCATCTCCGCAGTTACTACAGCGTCCGAATGAGAAGGCAGCAAGCTATGGAACCCAAACTCGTCGTTGTGGCACTCCTCTATGCCTTTTCCCGGCTCTGCTACTCCCAAGGCTTGCCCACTGTCGACCTAGGTTACGAGATACATCAAGCTATCAGCTTGGATGTTCGTGCTCCATACCAACAGTCCAGCACTGTGTGCCGTGCTAACACATTCCTAGGCGACCGGCCAATTCTACAACTTCAGCAACATCCGCTTCGCCCAACCTCCAGTTGGCGATCTTCGCTGGGCCGCTCCAGAACCCCCTGCCGGTCGAAACCCGGTCGTCCAGAACGGCAGTATTGGTCGGATCTGTCCACAAGCCAACCCAACCTGGCTCACACTAGGTTTCGCCAACTTACCCAACGTCGTGGCTGGCAACGCGTCAGACTTCAACGTTTCCCTAGCAGAACAACAGCTTCAGGCCGCTCCTCCCGGCGCAGTTCCATTTGACAGCTTCCGCAATGGCAAATTGCCGCCGCAGGATCCACGGACCACCGAAGACTGTCTCTTCTTGGACGTCGTGGTTCCCAAATCTATTTTCGACAAGGTCAACAACGGCACGCTGAAGCCGGGACAACAGCGTGGTGCCCCTGTCATGGCGTGGTATGTATACTACCAAGCTATTTTCCAATCTACAAGACAAGAACAACATGGATTGTCTAGTACTAATGCGGCTCCAGGATCTACGGTGGCGGCTATACGATCGGCGAGAAGTCATCGGGCAATGACGTCCACGGCATGATGAAGACGGCGAGTCGGATGGACGGCCTGGTCTTTGTAGCCATGAACTATCGGCTCGGGGCCTTGGGGTTTTTGTCCGGACCGACCTTGCAAGCCGCTGGTGGTGTGTCCAATGCTGGCCTCCTCGATCAGCGTCTCGCGCTGGAATGGATCCAGAAGTACATTCACCTCTTTGGAGGCGACCCGGACCGTGTGACCATTACTGGAGAATCTGCTGGAGGTGAGTTGCCCCCTGACCCTAGCCCTAGCACTCGTGTCCATGCCACATCCTGTACATTGTTTTTATTATTATGTTTAACCAATACATCGTGGGCAGGTGGTTCGATCGAGTTCCAAATCACTGCGTACGGTGGACTCAAACCGGCGCCGTTCCAACGCGCTATGCCGCAGTCCCCGGGCTTCATACCTTCAACGTCGACATTTCTCCAAGAGAACACCACCCAGACGTTTCTGAAGATGATCAACGCGAGCTCCATTGCCGAGGCGCGGAAAGTGCCCTCGGACGTGCTGATCAAGGCCAACGCGATGCAAATCGCCGCGTCGAACTGGGGTACGTTCACATACGGGCCCGTGGTAGACGGGACCTTCGCGCCGGCGCTGCCGGGACTGCTGCTGAACGCGGGCTCGTCGGCGCCGAACATCAGCGTGTTCAACTCGCACTGCGGCAACGAGGGCGCGCTGTTCACGCCCCCGTACCTCAAGACCGAGGAGGACGTCGACGCCTGGTTTCAGATTAGCTACCCCGAGGCGGTCGATGAGGTGCGCGAGTACGTGCTGACCACGCTGTACCCGCCCGTGTACGATGACGCGACCAACGAGACACACCCGTACACGTCGCTGCTGGAGCGCGTGTACCTCATGATCAGCGAGTCGGCCTTTCTCTGCAACATCGACTACACGAACCGGGCGTACGGGCAGAGCACCGGCAACAGCAGTAGTAAGAGCTACACGTACGCGTTTGAAATCGGCCCGTCCTTCCACGGCTGCGACGCCGGCTACAACTTCTACACGGGCCAACCGACCAACGCCACCACGGGCATGTTCGCCTCCTACGCCCAGCAACTGCAGGACTACCAGGTGCGGTTCATCACGACGGGCGACCCCAACGGTCCAGGCCTCCCCGTCTGGCCCGCCGAGCGGGCCGGGAATGCGAGTGCGAATCTCCTCACCCCCAAGGGGTGGAGCACCGTGCCAGATCCGACCAGGAACCACAGGTGCGAGTGGTGGCAGAAGGGGTTGGCGAGTTGATCCCTTTCCCCTCTGAAAACCAAAAACCAAAAAAACCACCAACAACACAACAAAAAGCGTTATGAGGGGAAAAGTGATGGAACAAAAAAGTATATACAAGGGGGTAATGAGATATAGCGTGCGAAGGTGGTAGAGAGGTAGGTGCTGGAAGGATTCAAGTCGAAGAACAGACGACAGCGGACAGATTGTTCAGAGGGCATACTGGTGCCAATAAACCAGATACACAACATACAGACAGACCCTAGGTAGGTACGTATAGCTAGTACTCAGTGGGGTATAGGTATATCGATATGGGTATCGTGGAACAAGTATGAATCAATGAATCAATGAGTCAATTTCCGGCTGAAATCCCCCCCCCCCCTCTCCCTCCCTTCCTCGTTCCGCCTAGCCTGTTACTAAGACGAGACGACGTAAATCTAGACAGATGGTAGGGTCAAGGACAAAGGACTACCTACGTAGGTACCATCACATCATCGTCATTATCCCTCTACCAAATCCGAGGCCATATCCAAAACTCAACAACCTCCCCCCCCCCCCCCCCCCCCCGGGGGGAAATCCCCTCCTGTTCCCAGAAAATAGCGTGGAGTGCGTGTTATAAAAGACAGCTTTCCGGCCCGGACAGTGGAATTCCCTGCCCGTTGGTTACAGTAAACGAAGCCGCCATCGAGCTGTTGTTGGAGCTTGTCGAACCCATCCATTGATCCCTCGCAACATCCAGCACCAGAAACGCAGTACCACAAAACTGTTTTTTTCCTTTTCTAGAAAATCAGACAACCCCGGGTCGGACATGCACGTAAGAAGTCAAAAAAACCCCGAGCTCGACCCCAAGGCTCTCAAAGTCTTCCACGGCTTCGGGAAGCAAGAAGCCGAGGACTCGAGAAACTCAAGGAGCCAAGATTGTTAACAGCACGGCTTCGTCTGCCATGTCCAAGTGCCGACGCCGTAAGTGGCCGGGTTGAACAGGGCGGCCGTGTAATTCATGACCTGGGAGACGTCAAACTTTGTCGTGTCCATGGTCATCTTGGCTCCGGGGAGGACGCAGTCCTGCCTGGCGGCGCAGTAGGTGAAGAACTGGGTGAAGCTGTCCGGGTTGCCCTGGCCGCCGACCGACTGCCGCAGGCCCTGGTCCTCGTTCTGGCCCGACGCGGCGCCCGAGAGGAAAAAGTAGGTGCTCCACACGCCGGGGACGCCCGTGTCGTAGGTCGTCACGGCGTGGAAGACGTTGTTGTCCTGGCCAAAGTGGCTGAAGAACCATTCGATCGAGACGCCGTACCGGCCCGTCGAGATGGTGTCCACCTGGTAGTATATCCCCTGCTGGGAGGCGCCGAGGATGTGCCCGTACGTCCACAGCGGCGCCAGCGTGTACCCTGGCAGGTTGCCGGCGGGGAATACGGAGGGCGCAGTGTCGCTGTTGCGCGAACCGGCGCTCCACTGGTTCTGTGTCGCGGCGGTGACGCCCAAGGGGGTGTTTGTGAACCAAAAGTTGGCCGTGACCCACAATTTGGCCTGGACCTGGTCAAAGATCCGCCACTGGATCCCGTACTGGGACGAGAGGTCCAGAACGGTGGCGTGCGACGTGTCGGACCAGGTGTTGAAATACGTGTTGGTGCCGCCGGGGTAGTCGCGGTTTGTTTGCGAGTTTGCCGCGATCGGGCCCACGGGGAATGGAATGGGCCTTGCGAGGTACAGTTGTAGAGGTTGAGGACTTGTGATGCTTCCGACTGTCGTGGCAAGCCACCGGCCAGAATGGATCCCCGGTGTGTTGGTCATGTTGGTTGTGAGTTGGACCCCGTTGCTCACCCGCCCGAACAAGGTGCACAGGCCAGAACTGGCTGACCATGAAAAAGCAAAGCAGGGAGTACTTTGTCCTGCCGCTATGTCGCATTGATTTGCACAGCTGTTGTAGGTTGGCTGTGTCGTGGCTCCAAAGGGATTATTGCCCGGATTGGTATAATCGGCCTTGTACCGTGTTAGCACTCGATGAAGTGACTGGGCCGGTCCTGGATGCACACTTACCGCGCATTCAATATCGTAATAACGGCCTTGGATTGGGTTGACCGAGAGTTGCCCTCCTAAGGAACAGTTAGTTACTAATAAGAGGCTAGGAATATGCATAGTCTCTACCTTCGTATTTCGACATGAGGTTATTGTTACAAATGGGATCCTGAGGATATGCGAGCGGGAGGCTGGTGGAAGAGGCTTGAGAAAGATCGGTTGTCGAAGACGTAGAAACCGAGCTACTCGCTCGTGTCGAACTAGTTGTGGTCGACGCTCTCGATGTTCCCGTGCTCGATGAAGACGCGACGGCTGTGGCAGACGTTGTTACAGCCGAGCCACCACAGACGAAACTCGGGTCATCATAATCAGTCATTTGCGGATACCCAGCATAGAGCATCCGGGCACTGTTGAAAGTAGCGTTACCTCGAGTAGCGCAGGTCAGGGTCGAGTAAGGGAAACAGTTGTTGGTCGACCCTTGGCTCACTTCTGTCACCATGAACGTCACCCCAAGACAACTGTTCGCCCGAAGTGCATTGGCATACTGACACTGGTTGATGCAGTCAGTCAGATCGAACGTCAGAAGCGGTTGCGCCGTGGATCCTGTAAATGCTGTAGCGCATTCTATTTCGAAGTTGGCACTGTTGCCGAGGAAATTGTAGGAATAGCACGCAGGAGAATTTCCTGGACACGCTGACGCTGACTCGGTCGGGGCGGCCGAGCAAGTGGCAGGAACATACGACGTTGTAGATGCGGTGGTGGAGGACGATGCAGCCAGGGATGACGAGGGCGTGGAGGGCGAGGACACTGGAGCCTGCGTTGTCGTACTCGTAGGCGTGAAGATTGGATCGTTGATCGAGGGATATCCTGCGTAAAGGAGACGAGCACTGTCGATATTCGGGTTGAACATCGTCCCAGTTATGCCAGACAGAAGAAGGCAGTTGGGTCCGCTCCCACTGGACGAACCAAGATAGCTTACACCCACACATCCAAATGGCAGTGCCACGTTATAGTTTGTGCAGAAACCGATGCAGTTCTTGAGTGAAGTAGCCGTCGTCGAGTTGCCCGTCAGGATAGAACCCTGCAGTGCGGTTGCGCATTCGACCTCATAGCAGTAGCCATCGCTGTTAACATTTAGTGCTTGATGATTGTACGTGCACAGATTGGTCGTCGTGGGAGTTGTAGAGCAATAGGACACTGCAGTTGTGGATGCAAGAGTGACAGTGGTGCTTGCGCTGCTACTCGGCGAGGGAGCCACCGATGATGTGGTCGTAAGTGACAAACTCGATCGTGAGGTTGACAGACTCGTCGCAGCCGGACTCGAAGTTCTGGGCTGCGAGGTCGATGGAGGACTGGCACTGACAGAGATGGTTGATGAGGTCGGAGAACTTGAACCCGGTGAAGAGCTTGGAGAATTTACGCTGCTAGAAGGACTGAAAGAACTTCCTGGGGTGTTCAACGTGCTCGACACGCTCAGCGTGCTGGACTGCTGTTGGCTGGTCGGTGTGGTGTTTGGTACGGACGAGCTGGCAGGGATAGAACTGAGGCTCGTCTGGCTCGTCTGGCTCGTCTGTTCCGCTTGGCTGCTTGTTCCTGCAACAGCTGATGATGTAGAGGACTGAATGACATCCGGGGTAGTGGTGGTGCTTGGGAGATCCTGTTGCGTACTAGAAGTAGGTTGAATGGATACAGAAGTGGTCGGATTGTCCGATGGAGCTGACGACGAACTTGTGAAGGTGGACACACCAGTTGTCGTTGTAGAGGTTGTAGAGATAACCGTCGACGGCTCGCTCGAACTTGTCGAGCTGCTGGAAACTCCCTCATCCGAAAAAACAATGTTGGGAGCATCGGGCTTGTTGACGACGATCGCAGCTTGTGCAAATGAATTGGCTCCCCTGCTCACAGTGCCAATGTCGAACTTGAGATGGCACGGATCCGTACTCGCAAGCTGAAATCTCCTTAGTCCACATGATAATCAGAGCAGGGCGAGAACTTACAATATCGAACTCGACCGCAACACAAGGTCCCTGAGACCCAGGAGCAAACGAGGTGCATGCATCAATGCACTCGGCGATATCAGATGCTGCGACTACATCGAGATCGAAGCCAGGAAGGTCGGTATCACACAAAATCAGATAATCATTGTTGACGGTGCCGTCAAACGGTGAGCGGTCAAAGCAGTTTGGTGTCCCGGTCGTTGTCGGGGCTGGATATGCTGATAGTGTTGTCGAAGAAGTCACCGGAGTCGAGGAAGACTCATGGCTTGATGATGAGCTGGGCACACCGCCCGACGAGGGAGATGAGGTCGATGTGCCTGAAGTCGAAGAAGACGAATCTGGACCAGAGGCAGTAGTCGACACTGGGCCGACACTGCCAGATGTTGACGCTGAACTAGCTGTTGAGGACAGTGTCGATGTTGATATGGTCGAAGTGCCGTCTGAGCTTGTCTCAGACACGGCAGTGGTCAGAGTACTGTCTGAACTTGACTGGGGCACGGACGTGGTCGAAGAACTGATTGTGCTTGTCTGGGACACGACTGTAGTCGAAGAAGTAGTTGATGGACTTGAATTTTCCGTAGGGACAACACCGATTTGTACAACAAAACAGTCTTGTGGCGGTACTGCGTTGAAGACCACGACAAGAGTTGAGCCAGAGACGCAGAAGATTGCCTGTCCACCAACGAATGCGTCGTTTGTCCAGACAAGGACGTCGTTCTCTATTATGGAGAACAGCGTGAAGATCCGAGGCAACCTCTTCATGAGCGGTGTCTCGGGTGACGCCGCGAATGGCTGCGATGAAACACCACCCGATGTTGACACATAGTTGCTCCCACTTATCAATTGCCCAGATGGTGAGATAGCGAACGAGGCGGCTTGCTCTATGTCACTTGTGACTGTTCCATTGGCCGTGAGATATTCGGGGAAGCCACCCAAGGATAATGTGAGATAGACTGGTTCACTGGGGGTAATCCTGGATTGAGATCAGTCTTGTCGCGCCATAACCTGGAGCAGAACGTACGTTGGCGTCGCCGATGCGCTGCTCGTGGCACTTGTGGTGCTTGAGCTGCTTGAGCTCGTGTATGTCGCAGGACAATCGACGATCCCTATCGAGATGGTCGTGCCATAACCGGAGACAGGCAAGAAAAGACGCCACGCCACGGCGATGCCACACAGAACCCTCCAAGTCATCTCGTGCTTCTCCTTCCTTGCCGATCCTATAACTTACCTCAGATACAAGTACTAATATCGCGCTGAAGACGAAAAGCATTGAAAAGCGTCGTGAAGCATTGTAGAGACCCGGTGGTCCGTGTGAGACGGGCAGCGCGACTGGAATGATCAACACGACCAGCTCGGAATGTCCAAAAAAGGCTTATTCGCGTCATATCATCTCCCTTCCCTTGCAAAAGACTTTGCAGGTAGGCAGAACAACCCACCTCACCCCTGGCTTGCTTACTGTGCTGAAGGCTGAACGACATCCTGAACCTGAGACGTTGGATCGAGAGCTGCACTCGTGCAATGAATCAAGGGGGCCAAGTTAGCAACTCACGGAGGTATCTGGGCTCGGTGTCTTGCGGATTCATCTCGCTGGATCCGAAAAAGGAACATTAGTAGGGCCGTGCCTTTCTGTGTTACCGTTGGTGCAGTGGTGGAAATGATGACAAGGCTGTACCATAGATGGAGGGAGACCTTACGTCTAAAGCGGCAGTATTTATGTTCCGTGCTTCGACAAAACTTGCCGCTGGTTTTGATGCCGTGGCCTCACGTGCTACTACCGCAACATTGACTGTGCCGGTATATCAAGGAACCGCGAGAGAAACATGGCAGCAGTAAGAATGACTTGTTCAGTCCCTCATGAGGATCCAGGCATCAATCCTGATCGTCAACAACAAAAGGCGGAACTTCACTTCGTCAAAAATCTTCGTCATTTCAGAATTCGTCACGGGCAAGTGGTAGATACAGTTACATAAAGTCTTGAGTATCTGAACATGTCGGATAGCTCGAGTCCTCTTTTGCTCCAGCTAAATACCAGGCTGCTGGTATCTCAAAGAAACACAGATTTCTTCTCCAAATACTGGTCCAGGACCTAAACAACGGCCAATGCCGACAGCAACCTAAAAAGTCCCAAACATCGTCTCCCAATAACATCGCGTGGCTGACATATTTTCGGCTCGTCACTCAACCATCATCACATGAGTATAGAATCTCGTCGACTCTGAATGCAATACCGTCCCTCAATACAACCCAACAACCAAACGCCAAGGGCCGGTGTTTTGTATCTTGTTGCGTGCCAACCATACGCATAAAGTCCAGCCACCAGAATCCGAGTAGCATCTGCCAATACCATTGTTCGCTAAAGTTCCAATAATTTCAAAAAGAGATCCCAACACTCAAGTGAAGACATGTCAAGAGAAGGTTCGCAAAACCGAAGCATTCAAGGGGGTCCGGGGTTGCCGTCTTTAACCGTCACCCAGATCATTTCTCCAAGTGATCGCGCCGTCCTCGCCTGGCTTGGGCTTTCGGTCTTCGTGAATGGGAGAGATGGTCATCGTCGAAGCATCTTCAGACGCCGACGTAGGCTCAGAAGAGTAGACCCACTTGGCCGCCGCAGAGGTCTGTGGAGAAAGCACGGACGCTGTTCGTGGGTAGCTCCCGTGTGATGCTGATGGGATGATTCGGCTTAAACTAAGTCTCGGGCGGGATTTCCTGGCAGATCCGGTTCCGCCTGGGCCTCCAGATACAGGACCAGTGCCACTCACAATGCCAGAGCCCTCCAAGATGTCTGCCTCTGCGGCAGGAGAAAAGCCAAACGTCACAGACTCTGTTCGAGGAGTTGCGAAACCCGACATGCGCGAGGTCATCGTCATGGTCCTCCCAGGATCAGCAGGTGAGTGCAGAATCGGATGACGAGACGTTGAAGAGAAAGTCGAGTCCGCATGTGTGAATACACTGTTCGCTGGCGAATAGATTCCGTCTGCAGGACGCTGCTTGGGACGGTTTGAGGGAAACAACCAGGTGTGGAAATTCGACCGGCGCGTCATGGGGTCTTTCTGGTTAGGAGTGATCAGAGACGGGGAGACTGCAGAATCCTTCTCGGATTCCGAGAGAATCGGTCGTTGATACCGGTTGATGCCCCCCACGCCTTGAATGAGACGCCCGGGTCGCCGTCTCACCAGTCCACGGATCTCACCCTCTCCCAAGTCGGGAGTGACAGCATTTGGCCCCACGTCTCTTTTCATAGCTTCAACGAGCGTCCAGCTCGATCTGTAGATGCCGCCTGTCGTCTGTTCTCCGGGGATGCCATCCTGAGGACGGTTCAGGTAAGTGTATAGCCATAACGCATAGGTTCCAATTGCCCATAGCGCGAGCAGCAGTGACGTGATGAACAGAAAGAGGAACGAGAAGCCCCAGTTATGCCACCTCGAGTATCGGCAGGACGCATTGTCCAGAACATAGGAGAGCGGATAGGTTTCGTTATCGTACAACCAAAAGGTGAGGTCTGTCAGCTGTGAGACGGCATCCAATGCCCCAGGAGCTGGAGGGGACGACATCGAAAAGGTGGTCAGATATGTTGTTAACGTGGACAGAGCAACGGGCGAGTACGAGGTCGTGATGTTGAGCGTTGGAGCAGCAACCGTGTACTTATGCCCGTCAAGGGTAATGTTGCTTTCGGTGTGGTTGTCCGCGTTGAGGCCATACATGCTCACATACTGGACAACATGCCAGAATGTTGTGCAGTTGGTAGGAACGTATTCCCAATTGACTTTGCCGTGGCTCGAGTTATCACTGTCACGCCGGCGGCTGCGAGTCTTGCCCGAGTATGGACTATCGCTTTGCTTGTAGTTGCCGCTATTACCGTCGTCGTCATCGTCATCGTCATCGTCGTCATCAAGAAATCCTTGCTTAACACAGGTATCGCCCACCGTAACATACATCGGCCCAGACATTCCAAGTCGTTCCGCGTCGTTAATCGCAAATTGGACCACCTGGAAGTTTGTCCACTGGATGGACTCGTTGTCATAGTCGGTCATAACTGCGCTGATATCGCTGCTATAACCGGACATGGCCGTGATTAGACTTGAGAAGCTGAGGACGAACAGAGAGCTCAGTATGATCCAAACCATGATCAACCTTGCCCGCCAACCTCGGTTCGTCATCAAGTCAACGGCCAACCGCCCTGTCCTAATCAGGCTTGGAGGCACGAAAGCCAAGGATTCGAAAGTGTTGTAAGAGACGGGGGCTTCGCGCATAGCCAAGGCCAAATATTGAGACGAGACCTGGAAAGTAACCACGGCCAGGAGAGCCTGTCCTCCGCGCCCAACGACAATGTCCCACACGATATCGATGAATTTTGCTGTTGAGAACGCCATTTTCCCCCAGGAGACGGTGATATAGAAGAAACCCGAAGGATCCCAAAGGCTAACAGATGGTTTGTCATAGGGTGTGAACTGTCCATTGAAGTTGCAGTGGGTGAAGGCATTTGATACCCAGTAATCGGCCTCAAAGGCATACCATTTTGGAACTTTGGTGACGAGGGCGAAGAAGATGATTGGAAGAGAGAAGGCGACTAATACAATGATGTGTTTGAGGAAAGAGAGGAATTTTGGGCGCCATGGCTGTGAAGGTGCAGCATTGATGTGACAGTGGTTGTAGTTGTTGCCAATTGTCGCGCTTTCAGACCCGCTGGTTGACTGCTCTTGCTCGCGCAGGACATTAGACTGACTCTTTTGTACGCTCCATCTCCTTAAGTTGCTCCAAGATCTGGGAGCCGTATAGTGCGCTCCATGAGAGATTTCGGGGGCACCATCCAAATGAGGTTGCGTCGGAGTGAACATGCTATCTCACAGACTGGTGTTCGCGTGGTCCGTCACGGGCCAGCTGTTGCGCCTTCATTCCTGGACATTCAGAGGTTAGAGGAGAAGGGTTCGCGGCCGGGGTTTATAGTAGATAGACAACTTCAGAGGCCGCACATTCGGGGTCGAGTGTAGTGCGTCGACAGGGAACAAGGCTGGAAGTGGTTTTATTGCGGAGGCGAAGGAAAATAAGAGGTATCAGACCAGTGGAAGACCACGGAGACTCTTAACCCCCAAACGATGTTCAATAATCACTCCGAGCAATCATATGCAGGGGCTTGCCGGGGTTGAAAATCCGGTACTGAAGGCGCGGAGGGGGGGGGGGGTAAAAGAGTTCCTGTACAGAAATTGAGTGACAAAGTACGAACAGTATCGAGGCAAAGTGAAAAGAATTCTGTAAGCCGGGGTCGGAGCATACGAAGCTCCAACCAGAAGAGGCAGTTGGACAGCAGCCGAAGTGAGAGAGTCTCCTAAGACGGTTAGAAATGTTTATCACAAGGAAACATCATTTGCCAGCAAAGAAGCTGGTCTTGCCTGACTGCATCGCAATCCGGGCATTGGCCGGTAAGATATTTTTGACCCCCTCGTGGTTGTGGTAGGCCAAATGCTTCCAGAGCCCTATGGCCCGCATTATCCACGGACATGGAGGTCGAATAATGAGTCTGGATTGCCCTGGATTGTGGTGATCCAAGTCCGAAGGTTTCTGGACCTGCAACATGATTGAGCATCAAGGCCGTTGGAGACGGAGGGGAAACTGCGGTGCGCGATATAGAAAAGACTTGGCCCCCCCGGGGGGGGGGGGGGGGGGGGGGGGGCGTGAGAGGAGCGCAGGATGGATGATTGTGTTTGTTGCTTGTCGCAACATCCAACCTTGTAGTGGGCGAATACGGCATCGGCGTTTACGTTTAACCGGCGCCGTGGTTATTTCTACCAATCTACAGAGTCAATGTCAAATTCAATCGGTGTTGAACACCTGTTGAGCATACGAAGACATTGACACTTCGAGCTTGATCAGGCAGCCAACATCCAACAGCAAATAGCAAGCAAGTATCATGCATGCTATCCTGGTGCACTCGACCATCTACCGGGTTACTCTGGCCTGTCTGCCATGCAAGTCATGCTGATGCTGATGCCGGTTCTCATGCTGATGCTCGAGTCCATGCCCAGATTCCTTTGCACTTCCAGACACCGCGCTATGGGGGTCGTCGAAACATACAATCGCAATCAAACTAAATCACATGCTGAAGTCAGATCATAACGTCTTTTCCCATGGACACCACACCAGATGCAGGTCTTCAACCCGTCTCTGGCTGTGTGTCTTCCTCGGCTTCGGCTTCT